GAAAGAAAAAGGCCACAAAATTTTGTTCAAAGGGAAGAGAATTTGGATTCTTGCTGTTTCCTAGAAGTTAAATTGTATCACAAACAGTAAACATGTCAACATCAACAGGTCAGACTACATTGGCACCATCATGACCTTGCTCTGGCCATGCTGCTTAGATATTTCTCCTCCCATCTATCAGAATCACACTTTTTTTTTTTTTTTTTAAATTAAATGAAGCAGCTAGCAACTGTGTGTCTAAAAGAGTAGACACCTTAACTTTCTCTAAGGCATTACTGATTTCCACAAACACTTTAACATACAACAGGTTTTTCCCTAGATAGCAGACTGCAGTTTCTTGGTCTGCTGTGAGCACCTCCAGCGCATTACAGTGAGTGAAAGGGTCAGTAACAAAAGCAGAAAAGTCATCACAACTGAAGCTTCCTGACATGCCTTTAAATTATATTCATGAATCACAAAAGATAAGAGTTTTGAGGGCATGCATTAAGATTTTATTTTTATCTTTGCCCCTGGGAAATTAAATCCAATATTAGTAAGTCATGAAGAGAAATGGTTCCTTTTTTAATCTGAAAGAAATTCAACTGTAAAGATCATCCTCTTTCTTTCATGTGTTTTCTAGATTAAGCTTTTGCTAATTTTACTGATGATATCTGTAGCCATAGGTCTGACTCCCTAGAAATTTGATTTCAAGGTTAAAATTCCTCTACATTTTCCTTATTATGAGAGAGGTGGCATTCACAGAAGTTCTACCACAGATATTATCTGTTGGGTATAACCCATGGATATCCTGCCTGCAGCAAAAGAAAAAAGAAAGAAGAAAGGCTATCAGACTGCAGTTTCTACGAAGGGATGACAATAATATTCCTGTTTTATTGAGATGTTAACAGAACCTCACTGCAGATCAGAGGCAGCAGCTGTAAATGCCATGTAGGTAGTTCGCACTTTCCACAGTATCACACAGTAGCAGGATAAAACAAACATTTCTGACAGCTTCATTTTAAGAAAATGCCATCAAATTCTTTGAAAGGAATCACCTAAACCATTACGGAACAGTTCAGTGCTGCTTAGTGGCTTGTTCCACATTCATTGAAGATTATGGATAGAGGCCTTTCCCCCCCAAAAATGATCATTTTGCTCGCTTCCTAACCGACAGCCAGTTCTCTAAATATGGTATACAAGGAAAGCAGGTTGTATTTCAAAGACAGTTGAAAAGTAGTCTATTATGTTTTGCTCATTGCTTAATACCTTCAGTGAGAATTAGTACACCGGTATAAGTGTTCCTTTCTATAAGCATTACTAAGAAGTTCATGCAGAAATATATGGTTATTTGTCAATGTGAAGGGATGTCCTCATTTCCATGCATGTATTTATTACAAAATAAAGCTTGATAGATGGAAAATATAAAAGCTCTTTGTCTAATACTGCAGCAAACTCCAGCATATCAGCCTATATACAATAAAAACATTTATCTTTTATTCACAGAGTAAGGTAACTCCAAGACACCTACTTCCTAGCTTGATCAACTGCAGCATTTTAGGTGTCTTGCAAGAACAAATCAAAACTGATGCCCCTGGTCCTCAACTGGGAAAAACTCTTTTCAATTCTGAGGTAAACAAGCACAAGCATTTCTGCCGTCCAACATGCTATTGGTCCTCAACAGCCAACTAGCACACTTTTGCAAGCAAAATGTAGTCTATAGCAAAGGGAAAGCATAAACCACAGGTAAGGTCAAAAAGGCTTCCAGGCCTGAACATACAGTATTAACAATACTTACATTTTCTGTTGTTCCAGTAATTACATGGAGACCATCATATGTTGATTTAATGTACATACCCTAAGAAAAAGACATCATGGGAAAGAATTTTTAAAGTGTTTCACAAACCATCACCATCCAAACATAACTTGCATATCTCTAAAAGAAAAGCCTTTTTTTCTTCTCCTTTCTTTTCTCTGTTTATTTTAAGATTCGTGGACTTTCAATACATGCCATGAGGAATTTGTCTCTGGATTGGAAAGTGCTTTCTGATACACTTCGAGAACAACAGCCCAAACGATTCTGGCACAAATCAGCATTTTACCACAGTCGTCTCCATAAATACTCCCCAGTTTTTTAAATGCACTCTACTCAATTACAAAAAAAAACCCAGAATAACAAATTGTCTTAGGATGATCAATACTTCCATTTTGCTTTGGAAGCTGCAGAAGACTTTGGTAGGCAATGCTACAAATACAACTGTCAAACTGATAACCAATGCTCTGAAATGTGCCCGCAAAACGGCTCTAAGACTTTCCGATAGCCCCAGTGAGCAGTTCAGCTATAAAACTCAATGATGAAAACTTAAAACGTCAACTTTGTTAGCTACCCCACTTCTTTCAAAAATATATGGTAAAGGAGGGATAGCTTATGAACTGACAGAAGTTCCTGCATGGGTAGTCTAAGACACCGTTTCAGACTTCTCGTCTTAAGTCATAATTCAAACATTTTAACAGCATCCACCAAGACAGTGAGAGAAGGAAAAAGGAGAGAGAACTGGCATACGCTGAGCATTCAACAACTTCTGAGGAATCTCCTTTCCCTCAAACAGTTCACAGAAAGCAGGTAAATACTGAGCGCTTGAGTAAACATTATCTCCATAACCAGCTTTTTCTCCTTTTAATCAGTGCCACAAAGAAGTCTGTTCCTAGCTGAGGAAAAGAGTGCACTCACTGGTGATTAAGTATGGTAAAAAGGCACAAGAAGATGTATCAGGTTGGAGTAATCTAATTTGGGATAAGAACTCCCAGACATTTTGGTAGTGGGGACAAGGAAGTACTCCCCATTTAACAAAGTGGATGACATCCCCAGTAAAAAAAAAAAAAAAGGGACATTAGTAGTTTCTCAGGAGACGGGGCTCGAAACTAAACTATTTTTCTCTGCACAATACATAGCAGTAATGGCATCAAATGCAGTTGTCATGTTGGGCTGTCACAGCCAGAAGAGAACAAAGCAAGAATCTGCTCATTACAACACAGATAGGAAGCCTCTAGCATCATTCGTCAACTTCCAGCTCCTCTATGCACCTTCAGCAATTTTTTTCATTGATTGGCTCCATGCACATAAGTTTATGCTTAATTCAGTGATCTCAAATATGGAATGGCAATATCTTACACATTTACCCTCACAACACCCCTGTGAGGTAGGGAAACACTAATATAGACACATTTTACAGACAGGATAATGAGCCACACAAGAGGCTCATATACATCGATATCTGCTATTTGGTACTCATACCTACTCCAAAGCAACAAAAACCAGGGCCTAAATCCCTCTTAGGATCTGGATCTAAGTGACCGGACGATACACCCTGCAACATGGCAAGAGCTGAAATCACGGTGACTTCACGGTGACAGGAACTACAAGTCAGGTCCCCACACAGAGCAATTTCTGAAGAAAGTCACGTCTTTGTTTTTATTGACAGCGAGTTACTGCTTTCAACTTCAAACCTCAGGGTGAAAGCAGAGGATAAAGTTTCACACTTAATGGTCACACAGTGTTTAGTTTTGTGCAAAGCACTATTCTGAAGGATAGTAAGGTCATCCAAGTATGCTATCATGGAGTAGTGCAATTCACATCTAATGTAGTCTTTTCCAGAAATTTAAAAGACTTTCAAGAAGAAAAAGAGGAGAAAGAACTTTTGCAGAACTTTCTTTAAAGGCTAAGACCAAGATTTTGCATGCTGATTGTTCACAGTGTCGATGCATTGGGAAAGAAAGGGAAGAGGGAAGCTAAAAAAAAAAATATTTTTATTGCACCTGTACAAAATTAATAAATGTTACACTAGTACTCTGCCACATTGATTTTGCAAGAGCCAACATATTTCTGTTTACAAAGCAGTTTTTAAATGGGAAAAGGTAACATTGTTGCAATAGAAGGATGAGCTGCCCTTTCACCCACATTCCTCCATGCCTTAAGTGAACAATAGATAGGAAATGGTACAGAGAAGTGAATGTTTCTGGCTTAATGTTTGATCCGGAATGGAAATAAGAATACTATAGACATTTACACTTTTCCCCCCTCTCTGCCTCCTTGTGGTTGCACAGTATCAACAGCACTTTCAGTGACCAAGAATACAGGGGAGATCAGTGCGGGTGCCGTTCACTTGCACTGAAACAGATTGGCAGGTACACATCATAGGTATCCAAAGACAACGCCCTGGTCCATATGAATTTACAAGAATCAGTTAGCTCAAATAAAAGGAAGAATAATGCAGTTAACATGATTAAAATAACCATAAGGTAACCACCGTAGGAATCAAGAACAAATGTATGCCTAGACTAAAGGCTAGGTAACTTATACTTAGTTACATCACAGATTGTCCTGATCAGTTATGGGTAGGAGTCTAATTTCAAACCATACATTTTATCTCGTAATAAAATATTATTCAGTTTAGGGTTAGAAAAGAAATTTTGTACCTTTTTTCTTTTTTTTTTTTTTTTTTAAAGAATGAAAACAGAATCTGATACACTTTTAACATATTTTATGCAACGGAAAAATAAAAGAAGATACTAGGTCCATTTTATCACACACATAACTGAACTCTTACTCTTTCACTGTGACATCATCTTAATAGAGTCCCCCAAATTTGCACATGCCTCTTTAACTCCAAACAGTACTCAGAACCCTCTTCGTAATTTTTCCCAGCTCCTCCAATATTTCAAGCCAAATAACTCAGGAGAAATACTAGCAACAGCAGTACACTGGATTCCTGGAAAATACTTTCTAGCTAGCCACCAGCTACACTCTGCTGTATCTATGACTTGTATTTTATGAGCGCTTTTTCGCATGACAGGTTCATTTTGTGGTTGCTTCAGTAGGCAAAGAGGAACCCAGAACAGTCAGTCTCATGTTCTGGTGAATTCACCCGAATCTAGCAAGCTAGCTGAATACCTACTGCTTGAAATCACATCATAGTACCTGAACTGACTATGATTAAAGTTATAATACGAACAGGAAAAACTGAAGTTCAGGATTAACCCTTGCCACAGTTCTCTGATATTCTGTTTTGTATTAAAAAAAATTAAAATAGGAAGGGACTGTTAAAGAAAAACTTCCCAAGGAAAAGTGGTAGCTGTAACTTGGTTACCTGCTGTTTGTCTAACAAAAGGCATACGGTATTGTGCTTCTTTACTAAACACACTCACTGTTTTCAGTCAAGCAGTAATATTTTTAAGTCTGTTTCCTGGCCAAAGATACTACCCAAGCTAGCTAGTTTTCTCTCTTTCTAGAACATCAACAGTGTAAAAACACACAAAATTAAATTCTCCTTAATGATACAGATAAAACAACTTCCGAGTCCTCAAAAAAAAAGGAAAAAAAAAAAAAAAAAGAAAAAAAAAAGAAAAAAAAAGAAAAAAAAAAAGAAGTGATTATTCATGGGAACATGCTGCTGGTTGCAAAGCTGACTACATTAATGAATTTCAGAGCTATTTAGAAGAATTTTCTACTCTGACAACTCCCTTTTCACCCTTTCTTCACAGTCACTGCAGGCCATACCTCTTCCTACGTCAACACTCACTGGAGAACATGTGTCTGCAGCCAGTCACATAACCAGATCTGGGCAACAGACCAGGGATAGAGGAGAGAAAAAGGAAAAAAAAAAAGCAATACCAAAACCCACCCACCCATAACTTGCAAGAGTTTCCCCACATCACACCCTAATAACATTTTCTGCTTGCCAGGTTATTTAGTCTGTTTGTCTGACAGGTGTTAACTAGTTTTACTATCTGTAAGACACTGCAAACCCTGTAACACAATTACCTTTTTCTTCTGCAGGAACATATTAGTCTGACAATTTACATTTACCTCTGATTGATACTTACGTTTCCACAAAAAAAAAGTCAAACACAGCGAAGGAACTTTTTGTGCCAATTAAAACATCCTGATAGTGCTCCAATGTGGTTTAAGTTGCAAAAACTCCAACCATTTTCTCAATTCCATCTTGTATTTACCATACGAGTTTAGGGAAATAGCGTGGTTGTCCAAACTTCTTATTTCCTTCTCTTCTCTCTTCCTTTTTCTCTCCCTGATCTACTTTAGCTTCTCAGACACTAAATTTGACACATGTTAGATGTTCCATTTATGCTAGGTGACAAAAAAAATCTTCCCAGTTAGCATCCGTCCTTGTCCTTTTCCTTCTATTTGAAGTCTTTCCATCTTTATAGAAGATTTTATTTAGTGATTGGTAAAGTCAGCATAGAACTATCATGTGGGTCAAAAATCTAGAAGAAAGTTGACAATAATGCATTTTTCCATCTCCATCATTGCACAGATCCTGGAAGAAGGTCCAGAAGTTACCATGTTTCACATTCATCCAAGTGCTCCTGATGTGCAGAAGATACTCACAACTCCAAGCTCCACCGTCAATTCTTAAACTGACACACTTAGCACTCAACAGGACAGTACTGATACACAAATATTGGATCTTAATTTAGTTTCAAAAACAAACCAAAAAAACCCAAAAAGCCCAGTAACCCAAAAGCAAAGCTTTCTTACAGAGCACCAAGAGCAACCCAACAAAGATGATCTGTTAGTAAGACTGGCACTACAACAAACTGAAAGGTACGACATTTACCCTCCCGGCACAAATATATCATCCTCAGTTCCTGCTCTGGAGAGCTCACAATCTAGGAGACACCGCACAATACAGAGGCAACAGAATAGTGGCATACAGGCACGGATGAAAGGGAAAAAAAAAAAGACCATATCAAAATAGCATTGTATCATTCTAAGGCCTGTATACTGCACAATTGGTATTTTCCATTTTTAAAAAATACATATAATAATTTTTATGACAATGACACAGCAGTCCTCAGTCAGCACAAAGACCCTGTTCAGCTCTTTTACAAATATATATCAAAAGAAAAAACCCTGCCTTAAAAGCTTCCAGTTTAAACAGACAAGACAGACAGAGGGTATAAAACAGAGGCACAGAGGGGGAAGAGATTCTTTATCTGATCAGCTACAGGAAGAGACCCACAAAACACATTCTTATTTACGAAAATACTGCTCAACATTTTTCAGTCACTGGGGGTTGACACCACCCTACAGAAAGACTTAAATGAGGGGGAAAAAACCCCACCAGTCACGAGACAGAAAGGAAAACAAAGACAAGCTCAGATAAAAATGGACAGAACTCCAAAAAAAGGTGGTTAAGAGGAAAAACATTTCTTCATTACAGCAAAAGACAGAATTTTGAAAGGTTGACTGCAGTAAGCTGGTGGAAGAGATAAAATTACAGGAGAAAGCGAGGGAGGAGAGAATCCACAAAAAACTGAAAGCCTGGATGACTAGTCTGAAATGGATTCGGAGATAAAAAGGAAAGCCAGTAGAGGAAGGGAAAACAAATAGCAGATTAAAACAAAGGATAGGGCAATATCTACCCACCCAAATG